TCCTTACGAGACTGCATCGTCAAGGAGATTGCCAGGAGGACAAAGGAGGGCAAAGGCCTCCACAAGGACAAAGGCTTTGTCCTCCTGGCAATCTTCTTCACGATGCAATCTCGTAAGTCGCACGCATTCTTGGTGTCCTTGATCCTCGCTGTGATGGTGACCGGAAAGCCTTCGATCGCGTACTTCAAAGTCAATGCCATGCCAAGCTGGAGATTTTGAGAATGAAACTGCCCTCAACACGCAGAAGTGTTTACATCAAGCTGCAATTTGCCGCCGACTCGAAAATCGAATCGAGGATCCAAGTCCGCCATTCTGGCTCCCATGAAACGCTTGTGCAAAAGGAAAAGTCAACAAGACCCAGTGCATGATTCACTCGGTCTTAGTACTTGAAGTGAACCGGATTCACTGAATCCGATTCAATTCGAGTACTAAATTCAACTTACCATTATAACAATTACCGGTATTAAAATACCACATGTACTTTGAAGTAGTACTTGCAATAAAAGTACTGTTCTGTACATGTCTGATGAAAGCATCGATAAACCTCATTTTGCAAAACATTAATGAGCAAAATGTTTAATCTGGGTTTTCATGTTTTTTTGCTTACGCTTCACCAGAGCATCCGGCTGCCACCTGAACGAGGAGGACGTGGGTTTGTGATGCCCGCAGATTAACAAAATTCACTTTTCCACCCGCGATCCCTCCACCTTCGCAAAAATTGAAGCCAACGACTTCCATGGCGATAGCAGCGCCGTACCAATACCGCAAAGGAGTCCCGATCCGGAACGTTCAGTAGCACAAGCACGTCTCGCTGCACGCGCGATAGCTGTAGCAGCAACGAGCTTTCGTTAGTAAATGCGAATACAAGACGCTTGCCTTTAAAACTTACCTGCACGGCGCAGTCTCTCATTAAAATGTTGGGTTTCCTGTCGATGCTGGCGATACAGGCGCTTGACCCGCTCTGGAGGATCCAGGATCATATGGATTTCATCATGCGGGAAACAATCCGCGCGACGAAAGTCAAAGTTGCACGCGAGGTCTCTGAGATCCACCTTGTTCTCCTCGGTTAATAGTGCCCGTATGGAGTCAGGAAACTCACCCCACACGAACAGATCAACGTCATAAGAGTCACTTCGCAGCCATTTGCCATCTCGCTTCGCCAGATAGAGCGTCAGCTCATCCACCCCATACAAATAAGTCTCGCGTGACTCCAGCATTTGCTTTGCCAAGTCACGGAAAGTTGTAGTCTCGTTGTCCTCAAAATCGATGCGCTTTGATATGCCTCTATCGACAGTCATGACACGCATCCTCTTCATCATTCCGGATGAACAAATTGTTCAATGCCGTTAATGTCTTGCAATCGGCCAGGTCAAAATACATCGTTGTACGTGTAGACCATCCATGTGAGCCAATCATATCATTACTTGGCCAACTAGAAAATATGTACACATGTATCTATCCCGTTGCTTGACCAGAAGTATTGACGTTCTCAATATCCCAAACTCGCACCGAGCCATCCCATGAGCCAGAATACACAAGTGAATCTCGCATTTCAAGGCAAGTCACCCCAGACGAGTGCACCTTCTTCTCCCGCAGACACGACCCCGAGTGCATATCCCACACTCGAATCCATCCGTCTTCTCCTGCTGACACAAGTTTCGTGAAGTCACGCTGCAGACGCGTCACTGGGCCCGTATGACCACGCAAAGTTAATCGAGGGCCTCGTTGCACGTATCGGAGGTCCCAAACTCGAACCAGACCATCAGCAGCACCCGTGCATATAGTAGGATCTGCAGGTCCTCCGAGACTCACACATTGAGCAGGACCACCATGTCCACACAGCTCCTGCACGGCTTCCACTGTACCTCCCGTGCCACGAAATGCCGTATCCCACACCTTCACAACGCGATCATTCGCCGCCGTCACAAGTCGAGTACCAGATACCTGCAAGTCTCGTACACCAGCTTGATGAGCCTCCACATTAACCTTCAGCTTACACACCGCGAGATCCCAAATCTGCACTGTGCGACGACGATAACCCAGCGCTAGGTCATCGTCACTTGCCAGCAAGCGTAGACAGCTTACACCGCCGTTGTCTGATGGCTTGCCAATAGCTTTGTGGCCACTTAAGAGTGCGACACTGCTCTCTTTTGTGGTTTCTCAGATCCCGAACTGTGCCATCGTCTCGAGCCAGAAGCTACGAGAGAGCGACCAGCTCCTAAGCTGATGTCCCAGCTCCATACACGTGATTGCATCCAAATGTCCACGCATCACGATACTCCGCTTCGATACAGACGCACCATCCACCTCACTGTCTTCCGTAGAGTTCATAGTGTTGCTACTAGTGGAGGACAAGGAGAAAAACGCAAACATGTTGCGCTTTTTGGGTGTTGCACGCAGGTCCCATGCACGTAGAGTATGGTCTCGAGACCCTGAGATCAGGGCATTCCCACGCATCTGTATCGCCACCACAGCGTCAATATGACCGTCAAGTCGGATGCCTTTCTCCTCTTCGGACGGATCGATGTCGACGACGTTCACATGCGCATCAGCCATGCCACAAGCTGCACGATCGTTGTTGGTAGCCAGACACAGTACCGGTGAGCCGGAGCTTGCCAACACTGCACTTGGGAAGATAGCACTACTTCTTCTTCGACGTGTTGGTGGAGTCCTACTCATCCAATCTGCTGCGTGTTGATTGTCATTGAACCTTCGCTCATCCGCCAGACCCCCTGTCTTCACCTGACTGAGTTGAGGCATCTCCCGGACCGACATCTTGCGACGAATGACCGTGTTCAAATCATACTCGCGTGATAACACTGGACTCTCAGCAAACACCACTGGTGCTGCAGACGCAGTAGACTCGGGAGGAAGCTCCGGCTTGGCAGGAGCAGAAGGTGTCGACTTGTGTATGGTCTTTGCGTGGATCCTGGGCTGCACAGCATCCTTTGGTGGAGACGGCTTGATGTCCTTGGACATATCGAGAGCACGGTACACATTTTCTGCAAGTTGCTTCAGTGTGTCTAATAATTCCTTTTCCTTCTGATATGTCGAGCACATGACTGTCACGAACGTCAGCACTTTTTGGAGCGGTACCTCGAAGTTGAGCATATCGTACATCAGACTCCCAATCACAGAAAAGAAGAGTTCGTCTCCTACAGTCTCGGGCCCTTCTTCGTCCGATTCGGTCGGGTCTGCTTGGTTCGCAGCATCGATCTCGCAGATAAACGCGTGTTGCCAGAGATCCAGCGATCGACAAATGGGTAGCAACCGCAGAGGCGTCACAAGATACTCTTTCTTAGCTATAAAGAGCGAATAAACCACGAAACGCTGGTGAGAATAAACAGCCTTTATCCTTGTAGTTAGAACGTCTTACCGAATCCGATGCCGCTGTGCTTGTCCTCCACGTAGTGATAGTACTGAGTTGCGACTTGAAGGATTCCGCGAGCTGTCGAGTAGTCTTCATGGACTGCACACTGGTTCATTAATGCTGACGTCAATCGTGCGAGTAACCGGAACCCTGCTGCGCCAATGTAGCTACCAGAACCCTTCGGGTTGTACCATGCTGAAGAGCTCTTAGCTCCGCCTGCTTTGGGAGATCCATTCACGCTCTCTACGTACTGATTGCTTGGTTGCATCAGGATCAGAACAAATAAATCCCTTGCGTGTGAGCTTTTAAAAGATAGCTCGCATGCCTGAATATCACACAAAGAGCAGATATTAGTAACAATAATATAACTTAAGATCACGCAACAGTACCCGCATCTCTTGCTCAGTTAGCGTGTCGTCAGATGTGAACACCGCGGTTAAGCATTTGTGTAGCACCTGTTCGATCCGTTCATCTTCGGACGATAGAAAACGCCCGCCAGGACCTGGCGACCCGGCTAGTGCAGCCGCCACTGAGCTGTCAATATGAAGACGATACTGGTTCACTTGGTGCGCATTTTTCAGTAAATGTGCGTTTACCTTGAGCAGTTTTGGCTCCACTCCAAGCTTTCGTGCAAGAAGCTCGTGATTCAATTTCCCACTCGCCTTAGACGAGGCAGCTGTAAGCGCTTCTTCAGTCGCAGTCTCCAGTGCAAACGGATCCCACTGAACTGCGTTTTTCTCATCTAGCAGCGCCTCAATCTTCTTCCCCAGAGTTTGCGACGTCTCCTGTGCATCTGTACCAACGTGTTCATCATGGAGCGACGATAACATTGTTGGTGTAGGCTCAGTTGTATCATCACTCCCACTGTCATCGACCAGCACCGGTATATCCGTTCTTGCTGGCCCTGTATCCAGGAATGAATGCTGGCTCTTTGACGCTGATAATGTGCGAGTTGACTGGGACCATTGTGCATCCTTCGGCCCTCGACAAAGCGTTAGATACACGGAATGGAAAACACTTAGCTCAGCTGAGCTGTGGCTCTCCAGAAACGACTGGAAGGCCTGTGTGCAGAACAACCTGGTCACCAACGGCGCCACTTCACTGTCTGTAGATTCACTCTCGAAAAAGCGGCGTTTGTTAAACACTGGCAGCTTCTGGTTCACAAAGAATAGACATTCACGGTAGCCTCTCACGAGAGTAGAAAGGAAGCACACGAGCTCCATACGCACTTGCTTCCCTGTGTCTGGGCCCCACTCAACGATATCGCGTCGTTCTTCGTCTTGCTTCAGGGCATCATCAGTGTTGCTCTCCATTTCTCCAAATAAGGACGGGTGTAAGATAGTCTTAAGCCGGTGATGAAAAGCTGTTGTTAACTTGTGAGGTAGCACAGGTCCGCCGGATTCCTGCAGTTGGATGGTCCCGCGATCGATGTCAACCACCACGAGATGTTCCGGCCGCCCGTTTTCCAGCAAACTTTGTAGCCAACTCGTGTGAATTCCCAGGATATACGGGAGCGGAGCCTGGAGATATTCGGAAAGCACTCGAGGTAAAATAGGCACGTACGGATGTTGCCAACGGAATGGGTAGATGAGTGCACAAAGCCCCTCAGCGACAGGACACAACAGAGACTGCTGTGTGGAGTGGATAAGTATCCGATACTCACAGAGAACTAGTGCCACGAGATAGATGATCGTCTTGATGTCAAAGAGCTGGAAAATCGGCTCGAGCGAATACACAAGTGGCTGGAAACCTTGCTGGATAGCGATGAAGCTTCTCGCTTTCGTAGGAGATGGCTGTGCTCCTTGGGCTGAGGCTGTACGTCGAAGTTCTGGTCGTGCTAGCAAAGCCTCTTTCATCGTGTAAATTGACGTCATGGACGGCACCATAAGGCGAACTTTGAGGCTGTGAACTGCAAATTGGACGCCAAAAACTCCTCGAATGGGTAGCGTGATCTCGTGACAAAGACTGCATAATTGCTTCCGTGTATTTGCGAGTCGAGTCTTGTCAGTATCCACTGTGATATTATTCTCCTTGTCTCCATTTGCAGCGATCCAAGCGTGAGCCACAGCGAGCAGACATGTTGTAACCTCTTCAATCAGCGGAAGCCGCGTCAAAAACGCCACACACGTTGCATCCCACTCGTTCACTTCGGCCCCTCTACTTTTGGAGTGGCGATGATACACCACAAGACAAACGACGTAACATCTGCACAGACCATCGTCGCCACCCACCAGTACAAATGAAAATAATTTACTCGGTGGCCGATCAGCTTGAGTGACAATCTCCGGTCCACCAGGGAAGCAAAACCACTCAATTTTTGTCGGTAGAGGGAAATCCGGTCGATCTGTGAGTGGATACCGGAAACGCACCTGTGCCTCGTCCAAAGTCGCTGAGATATCGTCGTTAGCCGCAGTCCCCACCACGATTACATAGTCGATAATCCCAGTCTCAAGCGGAATCGCTGCAGCTTCAGACGTCTCTACTCGCAATTGTTTCGACACTGGTGATGCCGAGGAAATCTCCGTTGCTGGAGACGGCGGCAACATTGACGTGGGCGTCACACGTCTTCTTTCAGGACTTGTGGAAGCAGAAGCTGGTACCCCATTCGGCACAAAACACAACGAAACTCGTAGAGCTGTACGCAACGCGGACGAAGAATCCTTCCGTACGAGAGGGTACCACTGCTCTACTTCCTGTCCTTCTGGGAGCCGAGCTAGTGGCAAAGTTACTACCAGCAATATCGCAGCGATTTTTACGTTAGCTACGATAATATAATTATCGAGTTATTATCAGAATCTTCATTGACTTCCTTACCTTTTCCAATGAATCCTGCACATGAACTGATTTCGCCTTGAAGCGGTAAACGCGCGTGTGTTTTATTTCTCATTCGGTCTACACAGAAAAGCTCCAGCTCGTCCGTCGAGCTCACTTGTTCCACGTAAAATTCCTGCCATATCACACGTTTTTAGGCGCTGGGTATCGCTATTCAGCGATCTTTCTACTCACTTCATCCCAGCAAATCGCACTGGCCCAAGCGCGAGATTCCGTTGCGAAAAATCCCGAGTTTGATACCCGCAATAACACGCTGATCATGTCTGGCACAGCTTCATGCTGTAAAGTGGGGTGGTTCGAGGGTCTGCGTCCTGGAAAGGGTAGCCATGACGACGTCACTACGATGCCATTTTCAACAGCTTTCGGTGATGGCAAATCGATCGCCTGCAATACTGTTGAAAATGCAAGTTAACAATTTAGCTATTTTCGACACGTCGGCGTGAGTTCGTACGTACCGCGAATGCGCAGCGCTCCGACAATCACCTGGCCTGGTTTGGCCGCAGCTTTCTCCGACGCGCTGGCCAGTGCAGCGCGTGTGGGGGATAAAGACGCCTGCCTGGAGGGTGCATCGATGACCATGGTGGCCGCACTCATGGAGCGGCCAGCAGCAGCGGGTAAAAGTAACTTGACGTTTGATTGACTTTACTTCAGCAAGAATCGAAACGCAGCATCGATAATAGCTCCAGAAAGGCTAAATTTGAGTTTGATGCACCTTTAAAGTATTGTACTGAGACTCTGGTCCCCCTAAAATACGTTTTTATGCTCTGAGCGGACCCATCACACCCACGGTCTTCCTCAAAAAGGTGGGTATTTTAGAACCAGGGGTTAATAGTACCGCCAAAAAGGCGGTAGCACTATTACCGGTAATGCTAGGCCATTTTTTCCCGGTAATACTAATAATAGTATTATAATCTCATCACGGTATTAATTTTAGTACTATTAGTACTAATAGTCAAAGTACTATTCTACCGCTTTCGAAGAGTCACGCGACTTGCGCGCGTCTTGCTTCATCATCACAATCTCGTTCCTGTTGTGCCGCAGTAGTAGCTGCTTCTCCGATCGCCTGCTATCTGTTCTGGTACGAAGCGGCCCCGTAATTATTCCCCCCGTAGAAAACACTCGCTCTTGAAACGCCGACGATGAGATCTTGCCGAGATGAATACGTGCAAGCAGCGCGATTGAAGGGTATTGGCTCTCGCCTTCGTCGCGAAACCATTGCAGGACGTCTGCGTGTTGGTACAACCCCAGCAGCGACCAGCACATACCCGTCCGACTGTCCGTTGTCATTGCAGAGGACAGATCTTTCTTCTTGGTCTCAGGGTTTTGGCGCTGTGCAATCTCGAGCCACTCAGGCTTTATCTCGAGCCACTCGTTCATGATACTGTCCGATCTTGCATTTAACTCCGACTCCTTGACCTCCTCCCTGGTCTTACTTGTACGAATAGGTGCCCCGAGCAAGAGCTCGTCTTCGTCGTCCCAGCCTGTCGATGATGGAGAAGAGAGCGGGGAATTCAAGTCCTGGCTGAGTAGGCTGCTCTGCGATGAAGTCTGCAATAATGGCATCTTGCCCACCTTCGCCATCTGCGCAAACACTTTTCGGTGCTCGTCTCGAAAGAATTCCAGACCATTTTTGTAAGTGGCTTTCTCCTCTTTGCGGGAGACGTTGCCAACCGCAGCAATTTTCTTGGCGCTGGACTTAGTACAAGGGTCCAGTAATATACACACCATAGCCTCCCTCGTCACTTTTGGGAACCGTGACTGCAGTTGTAGAAGAGTCCTTCGCAGGCACGTTTTCCCAGCTTCTGTGAACTGGTCAAGCTTTCTCACTACCCGTCGATGACTTGCCTCGTTCCCATCCTTTGCTCGAGGGGCTTCAATAACCATAGTGTCAAACTTGAACGATTTCAGCTTCTTCTCGGCAAGTCTCCGGAATACTACCATGTATGAAGATACTAGATTCTCGCTTTGCACCTCAGCCAATGCCAAGTTGGCGATAAAGTACGTTACCGCTTCCATCTCGGTTGCCAGTACCCAGTCGTCTGCAGACAAAGCTGATCACACGCTAGTAGACTCCTTCGTCGACTGGAAATAAGCTTCAAAAGCCGCATGGTTAACCGCAGACCGCCTTATCAGCTTGCACGTGTACGCGACTCTAACATCTTTGTCGGTCATGGGTCTAGCTCAGGGTACGAGAGAGCTTCTTGAATTTTCTTCAACGCGTTGCGCTGCTTCGGCGACCGAAAGTGGTTGTTCAGATTGCGTAGTTTCTGAATGACTTAACCACCCTTCTCCAGAGATCCACCCGGTGTAACTATCGTAACTACTTTATCCCATGAATGGCAGGCAGCATTCCACACACTGTTGGTTTGTATGTTGTCCTTCAATCCGATCCCATATCCGATACACAGGTTCAGCAGATGGATCGAGCAATCTTCTTGCTCGCTGTCAATATGGTCAGCTACATTGCGCGCTGAGGGCGTCGTGTCGGACATGGTGAAGCGAGTCATTGCACGGATGTCGATGTCGTACTTCGCCTTAAAACCACTTTCGATCACTTTAGCCACAAGCGGAGCGTTGTGTCCGTCGTTCTTGACAGTAGCTAGCATTGCGATGAGCCGAAATCTCCACGATGTATCAATAAATGCCACGGACGCACCAACGATACTGTCTTTTCCACAGCTAGTCCAGATGTCATGTATCAGATTCAGGTACTGAAGATGACACGCCTTTTCGAATTCAGAAGTGAGGAGGTCTCCGACAAGATCGCAAAATAGTTGGAACTGTCCTTGAAGCAAACGGTCGTGCCTGTCACGACTGAGCATAGGGAATGTTGGATTGCCTGTTGCCGCACGCATCATCTCCTCGAAGGGGCCTGACCTGCATGCCGGAAAAGGAATTCCTTGCGTAATTAGCCACTTCGAAATCAGCACGTGTAGCGTCTTCTCATCCGCCTTGAAGAAACGTTTCGCCAAAGACTTATTCCCCGCAGACGAACCAGTAGTAATAGGCGCAGAAGTAGTAGCATCCTTCTCACCACCACAAGTCAAGTCTAAAACGACTCGAGTGTCATCTTCCGCACTCATGACATCGTCTTTCGCCTTTTGAGGTGTTGTCTGTTCTGCTAAAATCGCCAAAGGATGGCCCGCATGTCTCGACTTGATATGCTCCTTGGCTTTGCTCGTATTCTTCGTGCTGCGTAAGGCATCCTCTTAGCTGTAGGGCGTGGTATTCTTCCGTGCCTTGATCTCCTCACAGCACAGCAGACAAATGTTGCGGTACACTTGGGTGAAAGGCTTCCACGGATTTCGCTTTCTGTAGGGTTTATCCAATACATGAATTAGGTCCCAGACAGAATCAGTAGTACCAACCTTCCTTGAGTGTGTCAATGAAAGCGGGACCCCTAAGTCAGAAACAGGAGAGGCCGGGGGAGGAGGCAGCACACTACGTAGGTTACCATCCAGAGGAGGTTTAATGGCCTTCACCTTGGCCTGTTTCCCTTTCGCCGCAACCTTCCGACGCTTCACTGGACGCACAACCGCAGTATCCGATGCCACGGCGACTTCAGGAGACGGCACGAAATCGGAGTCGGATCCAGCCCAGATATTCCTCGACGCAGAAGAAGATGTAGCGGCGGGGACCGTCGAAGAGGTCGTCACGGCTGGTGTAGAGTCCTTAGCGGTCGGGTAAATCTTCTCTACACATGATTGACTGCAGAATCTGCGTATCAACAGATAAGAGGGTTAGACGTGGAAATAAGACACAACAATGAGCAAATTACCTTCCAATAAACGACGACGTGTCTCCTTCAAATACCCCGATTGCACACAGGTGGTGAGTGGGCTTTCCGCATACGGTGCAAGGGTCTGTCTTGAGCTCAGGACCTTCCACACAGCCATGAACTGCACAAGGCATCTTCAGCCGTCGAATCCTGGTCGATCGCAATGGCGGTATCCAGTTCTTTTCTGAAATGGCAAACGACGCAGGACAGTCACAGGTTCGATGAGTGCTCAATGAGGGGCAGTTGCTTGTTCACTGGCTTTCTGGTAAAATAGTCCTGTTCAGAGTACTATAGTATCGCCTCACCTGAGTAATACTAATACTAATAGTGAATACCACACTATACGGTATTAGTAGCACTAATACTCAAAAAGCATTAGTAATATTATTACTCTAGATTACTAGTTTGTCAAATACCCTTAACCCCTGTTTAGAACACTGATACTCCTCGATACGCGAAAATCTCAGCCCCTTTCTATTGGTTTAAAAAGGATGGGTTTGATTGAACCAATAATCCGACTCTTTGGAAACCAATTAAAGATTTTGAACCAATATTTAGACTGAATGGAGAACTCACTTTCATTATTCGATCCATGCCAAGCTGTAGTGAATAATCGTGATCGTCGGAGCGGTTGTGGATTTGCTACTGCAAATACCTTCAGTTGAGTATATTGGGCGTTTAATACAGAGAGCGCTCGGAGCGGTTTTCCGCACGCACGCGCAAAGCTGTAGCTTTAATATTGGGCCTTTCAAACTTTAAATTATAAAGTGCGAGCCGTGTTCTCTGAAGAATCTGGGCCCATTTCATCTCTCCAAGCCGGTGTTGCGTCCTGCGCTCCTTCTCCTGACGTGAACGGAAGAAACAAGAAGGCCGTCACAATCGCACGGAGCCAACGGACGATGGATCAAGCGCGACTCCGTCTGCTGGTGCTGGCTGTGCTGAGCGTCGCGCTCCTCTCGACCGCCGAAGATGTCGCTATGCCCGCGACGCCCACCGTTCGGGGCCATGAGGTCCATGAGAGCCACCTTCTTAACGTACACGAACAGCACCTTGACCACAAACATGACCACGAAAAGACGACCTTGGCAGGTAGATTTTCACTTAGTGTATGGGGACAAGCGCTGTTCGCCACTGCTCTAGTAGGCGCAGCGCCCGTGCTGGTACTACTCGTGGTTCCGCTGGGTATCGGCAACCAGGAGAAGCAGCAGCCTTTGCTTCGTGTCTTCTTAAGCTTCGCGGCTGGCGGACTATTGGGCGACGCGTTGTTGCATCTACTGCCGCATTCGCTTGCCGAGGGTGGGGGGCATTCCCATGATCATGAAGGCCACAACCACGACCACGATCATGAGGGGCACTCGCACTCCATGACGGATCTCGACGTGTGGCTGTGGACCCTAGCCGGAATTTTGACCTTCTTCATGTTGGAAAAGTTTGTTCGGGCGCAGACTGGGAGTGGCCATGGACATTCTCATGGACATGCCCATCCTTCGCCGCCCGTGCAGAATGGCGGGGCATCACCGGCATCGAGCAAGACTACTATAGCGAGGAAGCGAACTGTTTTCAAGGAGGACAAAGACGAAGCGGGCATGCCTGAAGAGGAACCGATGGTACTCAAGGAACCGGGTAAGAAGCCCATTGCAGCTGCTGGTTTCCTCAACTTGGCTGCGGATTTCTCGCATAACTTTACCGACGGCTTAGCTATCGGTGCCACTTTCCTGCGCGGTACGGGCTGGACCACAACGGTGGCAATGTTGCTGCACGAATTGCCTCATGAGATCGGAGACTTTGCTATCCTCATCCAGTCTGGTTTCACTCGACGTGAAGCTATGATCACGCAACTGTTGACTGCCATTGGAGCCATGATTGGCACGATCATCGGTCTGCTCATGGAAGGCGCCGGCGACTCGAGCTCCGTGTGGATCTCACCGTTCACGGCAGGTGGCTTTATCTACATTGCATGTACCAGCGTCATGCCGGAGCTACTGGAAGACTGTTCTCTAGCCCAGTCACTGAAAGAGGCTGGCGCTATGTGTGCTGGCATTGGGCTCATGACCCTCATTGCGTTGAGCGAATAGGCCTAAGAGAAGAAGAGCCGCTAAAAAAGGGAGCAATTTACTGAGATCTGGCAAATAGATTTGAGAGCTGTGAAGTTCTGATCAGCATGTACTTGTCCGAGATTAGTAATTATACGGCAGCATGTCGTGGTAACCACGCTTGCAACAGGTAACAACAGGATGTTATGCTCTAATTCCTTGGCTTTTCTATCCAGTCCAGCTTACATACTTTTATTATTTTAATGTTATTATTAAAATACATGTATCTATAAATAAAAAACCGAACTCAATAAAATTTATTGAGCTCGGTTTTTTATATTTAATATTCACTCGATTTCAGTAATTCGCTTTAAAATAGATAATTTAAGCAAATGAGGCTTCCCGCAATCTGATTGGTTCTATTATCTTATCTATTTCTAGTAGCTTTCTCACGTGGAAGAATAGTATTTCCAGCGAAGGCGTCGTAAGCGTGGTAGTGCAGCTGACAGCTTATAGCAGTCGAGGCACCACTGGACAGTCTAAATCGCAACTATTCCAATGTTACCACCGATCTATATTGCCAAAGGATGGTATGGTGAGCAGAGGTTGTAAAAAATAAATCAATAAAATAACTATTGTACTTTGGTAAGGAAAATTTATTTTTGCTTTTCAATACTTAATTATTATGCAAAATACTTTTGCATACTTAGCTTCTTACAAAGTGTGGGAGAAAAATAAATTCAGGTGCTCCCATTTTTCACAGAAATTTGAAATTTGCTAATTTTTGCCGATTTCTAAAGAAAATGGTAAAAATGGGTCCCCCACCCCTGCCCCCTATTTTTGAGTTTGCCCCCTTTTCCCTCATAAATATCGGGCAAGATTCTCGATTGTTTCTAAGCGTATCTACACCGGCAGTGTGCCACATCAAACCTCATTTTTGTCCAGGACATATTCTGATTAGGGTTAAGGGGTGTTTTTACTTGGCACTTGATAACCAGTTGATCAGTCGTTGCTCGTGCATGGAAATCGTCGATATCGCAAGGTCTGCCATCACCCGTGTTAGCTGGGTTCTGTGGCTGGCTGGACCAGCAGCTGGTCCTAACGTGGGAGTATCACAGGAACTTTCTTGAAGACGAGATTCCAGCGCAGCAACCAGCTCTTTTGGTCCATTAATGGATCTAAGAGCATCGGATGCTGGGGAATGAAAGCTGAGCTGCTGAAGAACGCCCTCAAAATTTTCCATGTGAGGACCAATGAAAACGTGGCAGCTATTGAAAAGCGCAAACGCATGAATGAGTCAGTATACTAACGGTACATCGAAGTAGTAATGAAGAAACGCTATAGATCAGCGCAAAGTTTGCACATACCCTGCGCGCAAAGGCTCGATGGGGTTGTGCCCACCGCGCTTGACGAACGAGCCTGAAGAAAAAGACTCGCCAGTCAGAGGAGATCAAAACAACGAGTCAATGTGCAGGGCTCACTCACCTCCAATCACTGCAGTTGAAACGGTGTCGTAAAACAAATTTGTTTCGCCCTAAAGAAAAGGTGCAAACGAAACGTGAGCTATCCAGATTTCACACCCAAACGCGAAGCCAGAGCTCACATTACCATTGCGTCGACAATAAATATGTCTGTAGCATCTGTTGGCAAGCCATCACGAGAGCGTAAGCCAACTATCAGTCCAGGGAACTGCAAAAACATCGTCGTTAACGAAAGGGTTAGAGTAGTCTGTGCAAGCATTTACCTGTCGATGGATTTGTTTCACAATGATCAACGTCCGAATCGGATGGCGCGGAATGATTATCGTGAGCACTTTTTTCTCATGTTGATCATGTTGGAGACGCTTGAGCAGTTCTTCGTGCACTTGAACCATCATGACTTCCTCGCCATCGTGCGTACTTGCTGCAACCCATGCTGGTCGAGACCCAATTACGCGTCGCAATGCGGAAACTTCCGTATCATTACTGATCACACGCGGAGATGCTAAAAGTAGCCAATATCAGCCAAGAATTTACGTTACCCGACTGTTGCTAGAGACAAGAAGTCGTACCGAACTTAAGATTTAGCGCGGAGTGAGCATTTTGTGCACCAAGGTGTTCAAATCGTTTTCGATTCTGCAGATTAAAAAATTGTCAGGTCAGTGGAAGCAATAGCGTTCAGGACGAGTGCTTACCTGCTCGTCTTGACAAAGTACCAGTGAGAATAAACCAACGATACTCTTCGAAGACTCATTAAGCCCCGGCAATCGCCAAAAACGGAACGACTGAGAAGACATCCGGCCGTTGAGAAGACCAATGCGAATACCTCTTCGAGTAGCTTCAGTGATCAGTGTCGGCCAAATCTCTGACTCGATCCAGATTCCCACACTGCAAGATCCCAAAAAAGAAGCCTTAGCATTAACACGGAACAGTCTCGTGGAAGACGATTAAGTCGTCAAGCATACTCAGGTTGCCAGGCATCATAAAATCGCTGAACGCACTGCTGGTGATCGAGTGGGGCCAAGACGCAGACGGCGTTTTCATGCTGTTATTATTCCAAATTTGACAAGTACGAAGTTATCATCAAATGTGGCTGTCCCAGATGAGCAAACACATCAATAGCAACTCACGTCTTTCAACCGATGCGTAACAACTTGGTGCGCTGCAGTTGTAGTCGTTGATAGAACCACTCGAACTTTATTCTTCTCTCTGCCGGTCGACGATGCCAACGCTTGGTCCAGTTTGTCACTCAGCGCCAATTTCACGAGCGGCAACGCCGACAAACACTCCCCCACTGAAGCGCCATGGATCCACACTGTGATGCAGTTATCTTTGTAGTTGGCGAGCTCCTGGCCAGTGTACCAATGGACTGCGATAGAAAGACAATGTAGCGAGTGTCAGTATTGTGTCAGTCCACAGCTGTTCAGGCAGGCTTTAACCTGGAGGCTCACTGTGACCGAAGCGCTCGGCGGTGACGGCGCGAGGTACCAGCCGTTGCAGGTCCTTCCGACGCACATACCAGGACACGAGTGGCATCGATACATTCCACAGGCTATGATACACTGCGAGCAGCTGCTTCATTTGCTCAAATAAGAACTACTTTCTTAAAAAAGAATTGTTTTAAGAAAGGGCTAGATAGAACAAAAATGATTTAGTGACATGTTATTAGAGACAATTTTCGGGAAAACTATGCTCGACTGCCTCGAGGCACACAAATTTAGAAATAGGGCTATTTGATGTACCCAAAAGACGATCCAGCTGCGATGTAACGGATGCGCCCGAATAAAAGCCCCCTACCGAATAGTATCCTGTGGGGTGCTACATGCCTGCACTATTAAATACAAGCCCCTCCTGAATAGAGTCCTTACAAAAACTACCAAATCTGCTATTACAAACTTGCTGACCATCCTTTAAACAGTTTCCCGTCATTCCCAATAATGCCTCATCAAAGGCAGTCAGTTAGCATTGGGCGTAAGCAAGAGGTGATCAAGTGGATTAAAGATATCGTTTCAAGGACCTACTGTACATGGAAATTAACGCTTGGAAAGAGTCAGACCGAGTCGAATACACTCGCTTTGGTAACCCACGTATGCCAAGTGCTGACACCGTTTGCGATTGGGGCCTCCGCGCGTGGCGAGACACGGATGAGGCAATAATCATGCGGAGCGTTGAAATAGCAGGCTTCTCGAGAGACCCCTCGTCGTGGTTTATATCCAAGCACGATGTGTAAGGCGCAAAATTTCGTGAAAAGTGGTCGAAGGAACCGCATATGAACGAAGACGTCGATCTGTTAAATCTTTCAGAGTTAGATGATGCGTTAGACGATATTAACCTGGTACACGAATCATTTCAGCAAGGAATAAAGTCCCTACCCGTTTAAAGGCCTCTCTGTCACTTTCGGGCGGCACTATTAAATATAGTCCGGACTCTAATAGGGCGCGTCCGTTACTTAAAGTATAAAAACGCAAAATGCATTTGGGTTCATCACATAGCCCTATTTCTAAAAATGGGTACCTCGAGTCGAGCTTCATAGTTTTTTTCCTTTTGATCGCTACTCGTCGCGTTACGTGGAAAACAGAGGCGCGTTCTCTTGTCATCTTCCTCTTCCTCGTCTATAGTATCGGGCTGACTTTAAAGTATCTTTTCTTCCTCTCTCTTCAAGTCACGCTGAAGTTGATGATCAAGGTCGTTCGCCCCGGACACCTCGTCACCACTCGCTTCAGCCTCATGGGCATTACCGGAATGCCGCCGCGTTCGCTTGCAGCCATGTCGATATCACCACCAGACCACAGCATCTTTTGTCGGTTGTTATGATTGGCCTGCTCTTCGTGTCCAGCCTAGTTCCCTTTGATTTGATCACCAGCAGCGCTTTCCGTCTCCTCACCTGCATTACCTTCGCGTTCTACGTTATCATCTTCGTCCTCTTCTCTGATGAATATTTCTTGCATTAGAGAAGGATCAGAGCTAGCAGACTGCCGATTTCGTGTAAGCGGGGCGAGAGCATCGCACCAGTCGAATTTCTATTGCCTGTTGCAGCAGCAGCTGCAGTAGACGTGATTGTCGTCTGGAAATCGAACACTGCTCGTCACTATCACCGGAAACATAGCGTAGTTGTGTCATCCTCGTGTTGTCTACACTGTCGACGTGACACGGATACGGTACACGCATGAATACAGGAACTCAAACTGCTGATTGCTCAAGCATATCGGATACCTTCACGCTAAAAGCGCAAAAAATGGCGCTCTCAAAGATAGGGGGCTCGAGAAACTGGCTGGGCCTTTTTCCCAGCACTTTCAGCTCCAATTCACTGCTTTCCACCTTCTCTTTCAACACCTCTTGCTCTACAATCTCGTCGCCATTATTCTCTTCGCTTGACTGAGCAGCCTCAATGTCTTGCTTGGCGATTAGAATCGAGCTAAGCAATTGACGAAGCGCAGCCATTAAGATTCCAAATAGCGCACACGTCTTCACTTGTTTGCTAGCCATTCACGGAGGGCATTGACTTTCTTCTCTGCAACCTCAAGGTCATTGTTCACCCACACCGCCTTCAAATTCCGGCTCCTCGACTTCGGCGTTATCCATCTCACTCTCAAAGTAGTACATTCGGTATTATCCATTCCAACGCGTCGTATCGTGTGGTGGCATCCTGAAATTTCTCTGCGATCAAACACCGAATATTGCAAGACGTTAAGAACGCAAAGCGTTGCGTTTCACATACGCTACGACGTCCTCGTCTTCTCAACATCTTTCGTGGACTCCACCAATTATCTGTCTTGCATACCTTCGCTGTAGTTGTGCTCTTGGTCAGTGACTTCTTTTGTCCTAGTCAGATGCATCTCCAACACCGAAATCAGCGCTTCTTCGAGCGTGGACCGAGATGGACACACCTTTTGAATGCGGCCGGATCAACTTCGGCCTCGGTTGTGTCACTGGCAGCATTCGAGGATTTTTTTGCTTCTTGGATTCTTCGATGCTTTTGAAAATCAGAGCCGTGGTCCACAGTAGATCGAAGTCAATGATGGCCAGACTGTGCTTAGTAGTGTCGATGTTCCGAAAAGCTTCGTCAAGCTCGGAGGCAGATTTCGTGCGTCGGTGCAATAAATCTACAGCCACGATAAATTTGTCCACCCAGTTGTTTGATCATCCGTGTTCACCATCGGCAGCGGCAGATCAGAAGCAAGATACTCTCACGTTTTTGAGGTATTTTGCCAGGCATTTGATTCGGCAAAGAGAGATCCACAGACCGTCTGAAATCTTGGTTTTGGCGCCCTTCTTCTTCCTCCCTTTCGCTGTTTTTGCTTCTCGTTTCGGGAGTGGCATCGGCAGCAATAGCGACGTCATCGTACAGCTTGATATTAGCTTCCAAAGGCGATCTGTTTTAGTGATGCATGCTCCGTTTTAAGCAAGTGGGTGATGGAGAGCGATCAGCTCATCGTTAGAGTGCAGCAGGTACGCGTGTTTGAGCTCCTTCATTTGGCTGCTATGGTGGTGAATCACCTCACTCTTCAAGGTCAGCATGATAATCAACTCCACAAGCAACGCCGACTTAGTCGAGTCGGCTTGATACAAAGAAACAAACTGGGGATGTCCTTGCAGTATGCCACGGTGATTTCTTCCTGAAATCGTCGTAGCAGATGAAATGTGTCAGTGCGATACATGTTGCTACCAGTGGTTTAAGCAATGACGCACCTGTGGTTGCTCCAATTCTTTTATGGCAACAGCACTTGCTGACCGATTGGCGCTAACATCAACGAACTTCTCACGGATGCAGCAAGCAGACGCAGAAGGATTGTCTGTTTGTTGTTCGCTGGAGCAAATCTGTCATCACTCGCCATTCCTGAAGCACAACTGCATTCAGAACTGTTTCTTGTCAAGTAAAGCTAAAGTATTGGAGTGCGAATAAGCGTAAAAGGCGTCCACAAGCGTCTCCACCGCATCCTTTGGTACACGATAATTCTGGATATATTGCTCTGCAAACTCCGCGAGAGCAATAGCTTGAGTTTATGCTGTTCTAAATTCAATGTTGCCTTGTTTGTCTTCGAGACAGCTACGCCAAATGTATCATATTGAAAACACACAAGCTCCACGGCGGCTTTGCGAATGTCTTCATGCTCCGCATCATTCACACCAATTTTTCTACGGGCTGAAGCTCTGTGCTTGTCAACAGCTATTAGAAGGTGAGTCTCCTCAACAACGCCATCATCCACATCGCTGCAGAGCTCCAGATAGCGCGGCAGAAATCGAGCAGTGAACAGCTCCAGTTTTTTCGGTAAAGGCGTCGTTCATACAGCTCGCACAGAATCTGCACCACCTTAAAGCGAAAGCAATCGATCGGTCACTCAGGAGCCAGCCAAGATACTGTCCTTGAGGAACTGATCAGGAAGAGTAGTGATCCAATAGCCGAGACACTGCATGGTCGCCACGCGAATCTCCGGCATAACGTCGCGATATCGATTCACCACAACTCCACCTGCTGTCGCAACCTGCTTTGTTGTCTTTGAGGAACGTCACTTTCCTGCTGTTTGGGTTCTTCCCGTGGAAGCAGGCAAATTCATCTCGGTGTTAAATTGTTTTGTAGCAATTGCCAGTTGCTCAGAAATGCCGCCGTAAGGAATTGCTCAATGCCAGCGCGGCCACAATAATATCGTCGCATATCGAATCGGTCGAAGCTCGGAACTGCATAATTCACTAAAGTAGGTAAAGCAAATCAATCACCCTAACCTAGCTAAAAAGTCGTCAGTCAGTCAATGAAGTTGGTCGCAATCTCCGATGGTGAACAAGATCTCGCTCTCGTAACATTCCTTCACAAAAACCTCCCAGAACTCGTCGACAATACGCTAGAACTTAACACTTTCAAACGCTTCAACATGTAGATGGCATTCTGATTAATTAAAAGAGGCAATGCCTGTTTAGTCTTTTGACTCTAAACGCTCTCCATGACGATGTTGGGCGGGTACGCACTGCCTCCCTTCATCAGGCGGATCGAGTGCTGCAGATTGCGCAGCCGATCGATAAGCCCTTTCATCACCAAGTTCCTCTCGTACACCTCCTGTAACACATAAGCACATATCAGCTTCACAGTCACCAACTCAAGTGAATCACAACGTGCGCCTCACATTGCGCAACTGGTTTCTCCTCGTCACCAGTTTCGCCATCGTGTCCTGCAGCATCAAACCATCAGCTGTCAGCTAAAAGACACACAAGCGCTACATTTCAGCCTTTTTTTTACCTTGTCCTCCTGCTGCGGTGTCGTCTTGGCCTCCACTTTCTTGACAGTCTCCAGCAACTCGGTGCTAATCTTGATGTACTGAGCTTTGAGAGCCGCAATCTTCGTGTACGTGTCCTGGATCTCCTCTGGTGAGTATGGAAGAACAATGGGGTGACTGTGTCCACCTGTTTGCGTGTGCGTGGCGCCCGCGGCCAGCCCGTTCACGTCCGGTTGTGTCTCATCCTGCGGTGTGTCAGCCTCGGTGGGGGAGCGTGGGGGTGAGCCCGGGGCTGGCGCATCAACAGCGAACAGCTTGGAGCTTGGACGAAGTGGTGGCTTCAGATTTATGTACTTGATCTCCTCCAGCACATGGTACGCGACGGCCAGCAAGTGGGACAACATTTGTTGCCCATTCTTGGTCGGCGCACCTTGCTCCTCCATCGGCGTAGGCGTTTTCTTTTGTCATCCGGTAAAAAAAATACTTTTAGGTAGACTTTTTTTACTTGAAACGACGAGAGAGTTGGGTCTTTTGTAAATTGCAAAAGACCCAACTCTCTTGCAAATTGCAGCAAAACTTATTATATTTAGATGAATCGGTATTTATATATTTAAAGAGGCATTAATTATTAACGCTATTTACGAAGTTGCAGCACCTTGCTGTGAGAGCACTGTGCGATTTTCCCTTGCTCCAACTACGTAACAAGGCACTAGCCGAGCGGGTGCTCATGTATGCTACCTACCGTGTTGCGCCTCCTTTCCGCTCGCCAAGGGCTCGCTGCACTACTCGTATTGTGAGCTGGTTAGCTGGGGCTTGTCTGACTCGCAAGGTTGCACCAGGTGTCGTCTTGGGCCGCTCGCCAGCAGGTATATTTTTTTAGCTAATGGGAGCCGCCTTCGCTTCGCTTGGTAGCAGAATTTTGATCAATGAAAATGGTAAGAAATCTGAGCGTTTCGTGTGACGGACGGACGGACACCGTGCTAACCTTAATACTTAGTAGTTAGCCGCTCTCTGCCGCTACGCGGCGGAATGACATGGTTTGTTGGAGATGAGGTGATCGCGGCTTTAAGTACTCCGTGGTATTGCGTGCTTTCGTTTAGGAGCTGTGCATCCAGGCTGCGTGTGCGTTCGTCCACCCCCGTACGTTGTGATATTCGTGCAATTGAATCACCTATCATTTCGTAGTTTCACTGGCCCCGCACGATATCGTGGTCTCGTAGGCTACCGTTGCTGGATACAACACGTTGGAGTTCACGTTCTTTCGAGGCCCGTACTCTTCCATGCCCCTCCTGGTTCGTGGCTCCCAACTCACCGGTAGCTCACACCACTTAGTGGTAATGCGCTATCACGTTTTTATTTCATACTCTTCCGGACACCGCCCTTTTTCGTGAATGTTAGCTATTCCGTGTCTCCAAGGGTTTTCGTGGGCTCAAAGGTTTCGCTGTCCATAATCATCCATGATCCATGGCGGCCTATCGTCGGTACCTCGTCGACGGGTGCTCTCTTGTAGTTATGTTAATCCCTCGCCCGGGTACCGTGGTCTCCTAGTGTGGCTCCATTGACTGCGTTGTCGCGCTATCGTGCAATCGCGTCGTGGCTCTGCTATCTACACTGTCGTGCTCACGTAGTGTATCTGCACTTTCTGTGCTATCGTGTTCTATAATGATATCGTGCCCCTCGGTGTGCAATCGTCTCCCGAATCGTTCCCCTGTGATTTCGTGGCTGCCCGCCGTCCGCGTAATCATGTTATAATGTACTATCGTCCTCCGTGGCTCGGTGATCTTAGGCTCTACACTGGTTTCGTGCTCCGGTGATTTTCCGTCTATAGCTTCAGTCGCTCCATGTTCTATCATGTTTTAGTGGTTTGGCCACCGCCCATGCTATCCTGTTATTTTGTGGTGTCGGCGTTGATCTGCCGTCGGTTCTGTTGCGAGCTACCGTATTATCATGCTCCCTGACTCGGTGAGATCCAGTTCTACCCTGGTATCGTGCTCCAATGCTCGGTGATATCCTGTTTATGGTCTTCTGCGGATTCATGTTTGGTCCGTTGACTTTGCTCCATGCTCTACCGTGGTGTTATTGGAGAATTGGTTTCGTGCACGCTTTCCTTTACGTGTTCTACCGTGACTTCGAGCGTGTGTGCTCTTCTGTAGCCCGTGCTTTTCAGCAAGCTGGGGTGTTAATACTTTAGATCCCTTCCGTGGCACGTACACTCCCGTTATGTTCTTGTCCTTCCATATTTTATGGCTGCGTGCTCTCCATGGTTCGCCCTATTCAGAATAGTTCGTGGCTTTCGCTGTTTTTGAGCCCATCTGTGCTTCCGCTTCTTTTCCAGCGTGCACATAGTCTAATTAAATGTCCTTTAGTGTTTCCTGCTCTTACCTGGTTTCGTGTTCTTCAGTGTACCCGCGTCAATTCGATCACCCAGTGCCTTTGATGTAATTCACGCAACGTGTTGGAACGTGCGCCAACTATCTTAATTCGCACACTAAGCGCGCAAATACAAACCAATTATCACAGCGAAGGGAAGACTTTTTTTTGCGGCGGAGTGGTGTGTGTGGGTGGAGGGAAGCCACTAAAGTCACATTTTTAAAGAGTTTAGTAAATAGTATTAGTTAAAATGTGTATTTTTATCTAGCAATTATTTAATAATTACACGTACTACTGCTACAAAAGATGCAAGGTAAAATAGATAAAATATTTAAAACAGTACTACGCAACGAAATCTTGTAAGTGAAATTTTAATAAAAGTACAACGAAACGAAAAAACCATCATATTTTAGCAACGAGTACTAAAATGTCAATTCACGACGCAATATGACCCATGCTTTTTATTAAAGCTTGTGTGACAGTATATTACGTATGTGCTGATTGGTGCCGCCTACTAATTCTAACTAATGCGCACACAGGCAGCGGTCTTGGCGTAAGGTGGCGCTCTGCGGTTGCAATTGGGCACAAAAAAGAAATTTTATCCCACTTCAAGTCTTACCAGCCTAGCTACGTGAGACTAAGGCATTGTCGCCCACTTTAGCAAATTACTGGAGTCGCTTGATGCCGAGCTGGAGGAATCGAAAATGAGCAGCACAGGGACCAACCAAATTATTCTCTATGAGCGGTGCTTCTAAGTACGATATGTAGCTCGCATACAGTGTGTACACCACATTTTGCAATTTAAGCGAATCGACGCCGCCTCATTAGCGCTCGCTAGTCAGTAGAACGCACGTATTTGCGCTGCATAATATAACCCTAGCCCGATACGGATGGACGCAGAGAGTGATCAGCACTCGCCGCCGCTACGTGGCATAGTTTTCTGGAGGTGAGGTGGCCTCTGTTTTAAGACCTTCGTGGTGCTGCATGATTTCGGCTAGGCTCTTGTACTTCGAGGTCTTGTCTGTTTTCGTCCACCCATTATGCTGTGGTTTCGTGTACGAAACCCCTTATCATTTAGTAGTCTAATGTGGTCTGTACGATCTCGTGGCTTCGTACGCTTCCGTTGCCCGAACTACAGCTTGAGCTGCATGTATTCCCGTGGCCGCGCTCTTTCGGGAGCTTCGTTTTTTCGTGGTCCCCCTCTTACCCGTAACCCACGCTGGACTCGTAGTATAAACTTGTCGCCCCCGCTATTGTGCTATATCGTGGTGTGATGCTTCGCGGCTCCGCCTTGTGCAATCCCGAGTTGTTCTCCCGTGGCTGACCATTGTCCGTGTCATCGTGTACTACTGTAGTATCGTGCTTCGTGGCAACGTGTTCACCCAGCGTATAGTGGCTGCGTGCTCTTCCGTGGCTCCGTGCATCTCCGTGATAACATGGTGTCATAGTAGGGCCACATCATCTGCGATACCATGTTTTATCGTGGTATCGTGCTCCGTGCCCTCCCATGGCTACGTGCACTCTTGGGGGTTTCGTGGCTGGGTATTCTTCCCTGGTCCCGGGTCTTCATCTTCCGTGCTCGTGTCCTTCTTACTGTATGCCACATCCCGTTCTGGTAAGTCGATATCTTCCCCCAGGATCACAGGTCTTAAAGAACTTGAGCACTACGTGCACAGGGACAAACGTAAGTTTGCCCAGATTGAACCTTTGTTTTTACCCAATCAGCTCTTAGAATGGTGTTTTGCTCCCGAAGATTTCTGTGGCGACAACACGGCAATCTTTGTTCAGATTTACCGATTAATTCGCTTACAACCAAATTAGTTTCTTTAGCACAATAGCTTGTTAATTCGGAATTAGTGCCATCCAATAACCGCTGCACCTACTAAAATAATAAGTGCCTTACCTTAAAATATACGTGCTAAGTAAAAAAAGATACTGTAAAAAAATGTCGAGGTATGACAATTGAGTCAAATTTCACATCGCGGTGTGATTCCCTGAAAACAAAATTTATTTTTTTAGCCCAAGAAAGTAATACTATTAAAAACAAAATTTTGATTATTCGTTGATGCCACTAAAATTAATAAGCTATTGTTCAATCTTGAGCTACGGATACTGTTCAATAAGTTTTAGTAGCAGTGTAATATTTTTCTCGACCTTATGAGGCTTCTAATTAAAAACAATATTGTGAAAGTACGCCGAAGGAGATGCCCACCAACGTAAATGGCACACGTGTGATGTCCGGGTGCAGACAGATATATGGATGAATATCATCACTTATCCAACCTCTCTTAAGTTTAATATCAGCATTAATGGCCAATCATACATTATGTTTCTAAGATAGCCAATCATATCCAAGTAATATGTCAGTCCTGGCCAATCAAAACGTGAAGGGGTACGTTGGTCATCTAAGCCTCACATCCGACGTATCTGGTCGGAGGGGCAGGGGAAATATGTATATTCCCTTACAAAATTCAGGACGTGGGCATATATCACACGCATAGTTTAAGTTTTATCGGACCAGTGCAATCATTGCAGTACAATAACCTCGAATAACGCTCCTACAATTCTTCTAAAGCGCTTTGATAACTGCCAGGCCGTCGCTGTGAGCTCGCTCTTTTAAGCTTGCAGCTCAACCTTCTGCAAGGGGATCCAATAATAATAGGAAAGGGTGAAAGCATACGTCAATTAAATGTACATTTAGTGCATTGTTTAATGCTCGCTAGCAGCTGCGGTCCGAAAGACACGATTGCCCTGTTGCTTGACCTTTGCCACACCACGCTCGCCATATCCCCACTCACAGCCTCGGCACTCATCGTGGCTGTTAGCGTCGACGACAGCTCGTCGCCTCCGAAGTCAGCTAGCTCGCAACCCACCCATCCACCATGCTTACAAGCGCGCCCCTTCCTGTCGCTACCTCCTGCAGCTGCCTTCTGCTGGGACTTTGCCTGAATTTCCATGCTGCCTGTCTGCAGCCCGTCACACTCAAGCACCACAGTGCGGCTGCCGCAACAGTGGTAATATTGTCCTTGCCTCCGCTGCGCACTTGCAGTTTGTCGCTCGCCATCTGCTCAGC